CACCTTGGCCTCCCAAAGTGCTGGGATTACGGACATGAGCCACCGCGCCCGGCTGCTTTTCTTTCCTTTTAGAGAGACAGGGGTCTCACTATGTTGCCCAGGTTGCTCGATTCCTGTGGTCCTGTGACTCCCCAGACTTCAGGTGTGCCAGCCTGATTTCTGACCCTTGGCCAGTCACACTTTCTCCTTTGGGCTTTGAACTTGGGATGCGCTGCACTTGTTTACTCTGTGTAGATTGCTCTCATCCCAGATTTGGGTTGAGATTTGGCTCAGATTTCAGTTCAGTTACATTCCCTGGCCCAGTCTGAAGTAGCCCTGCACCCATTTATTGCATTTTTTTTTTTTTTGATACAGGGTCTTCCTCTCTTGCCCAGGCTGGAGTGCTGTGGGAAAATCTCAGCTCACTGCAGCCTCAACCTCTGGGACTCAAGCGATCCTCTTGCCTCAGCCACCCAGAGTAGCTGAGAATACAGGTGCACGCCACCAGGCTCAGGTAATTTTTTGTGTATTTTTTGTAGAGACGGGGTTTTGCCGTGTTGCCTAGGCTGGTCTTGAACTCCTGGGCTCAAGTGGTCTTCTCGCCTCAGCCTCTCAAAGTTCTGAGATTACAAGTATGAGCGACCATGCCTGGCTTTGTGTATGTCTTTTTTTTTTTGAGATGGAGTCTTGTCCTGTCACTCAGGCTGGAGTGCAATGGCATGATCTTGGCTCACTGCAACCTCCATCTCCCGGGTTCAAGCGATTCTCCTTCCTCAGCCTCACAAGTAGCTGGGATTACAGGTGTGTGCCACCACACCCGGCTAATTTTTGCATTTTTAGTAGAGACAGGGTTTCACCTTGTTGGCCACACTGGTCTTGAACTCCTGACCTCAAGTAATCCACTCGCCTTGGCCTACCATGGTACTGAGATTACAGTTGTGAGTCACTGTGCCTGGCCTGTATTTCTTGTTTACAATTTGTTTCTTATAAGAGCAGGACCTCTGTCTTAGTAACCTCTGTATTCTTAGTGCCTATCTGTGTGCCTGGGACATAAGAGTTGTTCAATAAATGTTGATTGAATGAATTCATTGTAGGCTAGTAGTGGAGTAGACCTCTTAGATATCAAAAACTTACTTTGGACTTTTTTTTTTTTCTTTTTGAGAGATAGGGTCTCACTGTGTCATCCAGGCTGGAGAGCAGTGGCAGAATCATAGTTTATGGCAGCCTGGACCTCCTGGGCCCAAGTAATCCTCTCACCTCAGCCTCTCAAGCAGTTGAGACTACAGGCATGCACCATCATGTCATCCAGCTAATTTTTAATTTTTTTTTTTTTTTCCTGAGATGGTGTCTTGCTCTGTCACCCAAGCTGAAGTGCAGTGGCGCGGTCTGTGCTCACTGCAGCCTCCGCCTCCCGGGTTCAAGTGATTCTTCTGCCTCAGCCTCCTGAGTAGCTGGAACTACAGGCGCATGCCACCACACCCGGCCAATTTTTGTATTTTTAAGAGACAGGGTTTCAACGTACTGGCCAGGCTGGTCTCAAACTCCTGACCTCAGGTGATCCCCCCGCCTTGGCCTCCCAAAGTGCTGGGATTACAGACGTGAACAACTGTGCCTGGCTGTTTTTTTGTTTTGTTTTTTTTTTTTGAGACAGAGTCTCACTTTGTCACCCAGGCTGGAGTGCAGTGGCGCGATCTCGGCTCACTGCAACCTCCACCTCCTGGATTCAAGCGATTCTACTGCCTCGGCCTTCCGAGTAACTAGGACTACAGGCATGGGCCACCGCACCCAGCTAATTTTTGTATTTATAGTAGAGACTGGGTTTCACCATATTGGCCAGGCTGGTCTCAAACTCCTGACTTTGTGATCTGCCCACCTTGGCCTCCCAAAGTGCTGGGATCACAGGCATGAGCCACCGCGCTGGGCCTAATTTTTTTTTTTGAGACTGAGTCTCACTCTGTCGCCCAGGCTAGAGTGCAGTGGGGTGATCTTGGCTCACTGCAACCTCTGCCTCCTGGGTTCAAGTGATTTTCCTACCTCAGCCTCCTGCATAGCTGGGATTACAGGGGCCTGCCTCTATGCCCGTCTAATTTTTGTATTTTTAGTAGAGACGGGGTTTCGCCATGTTGGCCAGGCTAGTCTCCAACTCCTGACCTCAGGTGATCCACCCGCGTTGGCCTCCCGAAGTGCTGGGGTTACAGGCATGAGCCACTGTGCCTGGCAAAAATTTTTTTTTTTTTTTGCGATGGAGTCTCGCTTTGTTGCCAGGCTGCAGTGTAGTGGTGCGATCTCTGCTCACTACAATCTCCACCTCCCGGGTTCAAGCCATTCTCCTGCCTCAGCCTCCTGAGTAGCTGGAATTATAGGCGGGCACCACCACACCTGGCTAATTTTAGTGTTTTTAGTGGAGATAGGGTTTCACCATGTTGGCCAAGATGGTCTTGATCTCCTGACCTCGTGGTCTGCCCGCCTTGGCCCCACAAAATGCTGGGATTACAGGCGTGAATCACTGTGCCTGACCTTTTTAAAAAAAAATTTTTTTTTTTTGAGACACAATATCACTCTGTCATCCAGACTGGAGTGCAATGGCACATTCTCGGCTCACTGCAGCCTCCACCTCCCAGGCTTAAATAAGTCTCATGCTTCAGGTGTATGCCACCACACCCAACTAATTTTTTATATTTTGAAGACCGGAGTCTCACTGGTGTCGGCCAAGGTTGGAGTGCAGCTGGCGATCCTCACTCCACTGCAAGCATT